AAATTGCAACCTGGGGTAGACCCTGTAAAATGGCACAGGCTGATGATGCCGCAAATGGCAGTCTCCTACATTGGTACAAGCCCTTACGGGTATTAATTGGGGCATATTTCTGGGACTCCTTATCTAACCGCAATTGCAGATACGCATGGCCCATGTCTAGCTTCGTGAAGGACAGCACCTCCCACCAGCTTTGCATGTAAGTCCTCTATGCGAGGGATTGTGTATTTATCCAGCTGCCTGAAGCTGTTTAGGATTTGTTTAAAATCACCACTAAGGTGAACCAATCTTTCAGGCTTTATAATTGGTACAACTGCTGCTGCCCATTCCACAAACTGTACTGGTTTGACAATTCTTTCACTTTCTAGTCTCCTGATTTCTGCTTCTACTTATGCACATAGTGCAAATGGCACAGGGCAGGTCTTGTAGAATCATGGAATTACTTCTTGTTCAACATGCAAGGTGGCCTTGGCTCCTTTGTTAGTCCCTAAACCTTCCTGAAAAATGTCCCGATATTTAATTAGGATTTCGCTCGGGCAGCCATTTTCTAATCGAAAAGTGTTGAGCCAATCAAGGTCAATCTTTCTCAACCAATTTCGCCCCATCAGGCTTGGTCCCGAGCCTTTTACTACTAATCAGTGGTAACTGAACGAGCTGCTTCTCATACGAGCCTGGAACTGAAGTTGTACCCTTTATCTGTAAAGGTTTGCAGAACGTTATCTGTGTCTCTGGATTAACACTCCAGCGGTAATACCACTAGTCCATTCCCTTCCCTGAGCTAATAAAGGAAGGAATTCCATACGCCTCAACCACCTTAATAACCTGTCCTGCTACCTTCAAGGATCTTGCACTCAAAGATCTCTCACTTCCTCTACATTTCTCAGTATCCTCCCGTTTATTGTGCATATCTTTGCCTTCTTTGACCTCCCGGAATCTGACATTTCACACTACTCTGGGTTGAATTCCATCTGCCACTTTTCTGCCTACCTGATCAGTCAGTTGATATTTTCCTGCAGTCTACAACCACCTTCCTCACTATTTCTATCAATTATGTAGCCAGTTTTTGTGTTGTTTGAAAACTTCTTGATCACGCCCCTATATTTACATCCAAATCATTAATATATACCAGAGAAAGCGGGGATCCTGATACTGAATCTTATAGAACCCCACTGAAACTAGCTGTTTTGTTTTTATTTCAGATCACCAACATATCAGTGTTTACTTTTACTCCAAACCTAATGGCTTGGTAGATCATTTCAGAGGGTAGCTAAGAGTCAATCACATTGCTGTAGGTCTGAAGTCACATATAGGCTAGACCAGAGAAGGATAGCAGATCTCCTTACCTAAAGGATATTTGTGAATCTGATGGGGTTTTATTTACAACAATTGACAGTGGTTTCATGTCATTGTTGCTAAGACCAGTTTTTTTGCATCATTCCAGATTTTTTCATTGAATTTAAATTCCAGCTGCCAGAGTGGAATTTGAACTAGTTAGCATTAACCTCGGCCTCTAGACTACTAGTGCAGCGGCCTTATCACTAAGCCACCACCTCCCCCTAAGTAGGTAGGATAGATATATCTCTAGATATGAATGCAAAATACTGCAAATAATGGAAATTATAAACAGAAACAGAATGCTGGAGAAACTCGGAGGTCTCATAGTATCCTTGAAGAGTGAAACAGAGTTAATGTTTCAGAACTTCAATTCTGAAGAAGTCATTCAACTCAAAGTGTTAACTGTGTTTCTCTTTCCATAGATGCTGCCAGATTTGCTGCTTTTCTCTGTAAATCTCTAGGCTTTGATTTGTGAGGAAATCGAAGATACATGTGCAATTTGCATCAGGAATTATGCCAATGTAGTTTGAGTTTATAGGAAGAACTTGGTAAGAGTCTACACATGAGATCTTGAGTAAATGAAAGTGCACTGACTGAGAGGTAACTCTTGAAATGAATGATTAATTGACTGGTCGATAGGAAACAATAGGGATAAAGGAAATAAAAACCAAAAGAACTGCGGATGCTGTAAATCAGGAACAAAAACAAAGTTGCTGGAAAAGCTCAGCAGGTCTAGCAGCATCTGTGGAGGAGAGAACAGAGTTAACGTTTCGGGTCCGGTGACCCTTCTTCAGAACTGTTGGTGGCTGGGAAAACGTCAGTTTATATGCAGAAAATAGGGAGGTGGGTGGGGTAGGGAGTAAATGATATGATAGAGCCCAAAGAGAGAGAAAGGCAGTTGGACAGACAAAGGAGTTGCTAACGATCAGGCTGGGAGGGTGAATAGTTGTTAATGGGGGCTGTTAGTGACTAGACAGTCCCCTTTGTCTAGTGTACCTATAGCGATAAAGGAAATACTCTTTCATTTATGGCATATCATAAATTATGTTCCTCTGGGACCCGTACAACTTTTTTCTTTATTCATACATGAAATGTGGGCATTTATTGCCCATCCCTAGTTGTTTTTGAGAAGGTGAGGTGAGCTGCCTTCTTGAACCACTGAGGTATTTGGTGTAGGTAGATCCACAATACATTCAGGGAAGAAGTTCCAGGATTTTGACCCAGCAACCCTGAAGCAATAGTCTTATATTTCCAAGTGCGGATTGGAGGGTACCTTGCAGGCAGTGTTTCTGGGGCAACAGATTTTAACCAGAAGTATTCGTGACTTGGAATAAAGTTGTATGTTCAAGTTTATAAATGATGCGAAGATATAAGGTGCAATATGTTGTGCACAAGAGAACAGGTAGTTCAAAAGTGATGTAAACAAAAAGGAGAAAGCTACTACAGGTTGAGTTCTTTATTCAGAAGTGAGAAGCCAAATGTTTTAATTTGAATTAGACAAACTGGAATAGTTTCTTAATTGAATCCATGTACTAAAAATAATAAATTCATTCAATAGAGTAGGTAACGGGAAATATTTTTTTCTGCATTTATGCAGAAAGAGAAGCCAGAATATTCAAATTACAGCTAGGACATTCAAGTATAAAAATAGGAATCTACTTTTTAACTGAAAATCTAAAGACTGTGGACTCTGGGGGTGCTGTCACTTGAAAATTTGAAAATGGTAGACTTTTGTTAAGTAAGGGCATCAAACAATAAAGAAGCCAAGATGCGAGAGTGAAGTTGAGGTCATGATGAACCAGAATCTGGCTAAATGGTAAAATAGGTTCAAGGGGTTGAATGGCCTACTCCTGTTCCTAGGTCTGTAATTGACTGTAGGAATTCCGATCACACGAGTCCTAATTTTCCTTTCACCCATTTAAACTTTTGCCCCTTTTATGTATGTTTATGATATAAAGCAGTAACATGAATTTGCTGTCTATTATCTTCTACATGTCTAGGTTTGCCAGATACAACAAATTATATTGAGAATTATGTGAATTGCTTTGGTAATTTTGTTGGACGTAGTGCTCTGTAAATCCATACATTCATTTTCTATTAAATCCCCTCTGTAACTTTTCAGAGGACTTTCTGCTATCTTCAGTGCCAGGTTTGGCCCTGTGATTCTGCCTTCATGACTGAAATAGTTCATGTGTGTGTCTGTGACCAAAACTGAACAAATTATTTCAGATTTGGTCTGACTATAGCTTCAGTATAAAAACTGAAAGAACTGTGGATGCTGTAAATCAGAAACAAAAACCAAAATTGCTGGAAAAGCTCAGTTGGTCTTGCAGCATCTGTGGAGAAAAATCAGAGGTATCGTTTTGGGTTGAGTGACCCTTCCTCAGAACTGGGAGGGGGTCAGGACGGGTCACTCGACCCGAAACGTTAACTGATCGTTCTCCACAGATACTGCCAGTAATTTCTGTTTTGGTTACAGCTTCACTACGATATTCTTCAAAATGTTTTCCATTTATTATGCTTTCTGTTTGTGATTACCACTGATCTAACTGATACAGTGTGCTTCTATTTGCAGCAATTTGGTCTGATGTCTAGAATCTTTCCACATTGCTCTTTAAATTATGAGTCTGCCCGCAAACTTAAACTTGGTGCAAGAATAGCAAGGAAGTGATAGTCTGTCCTGTGGTGTTGACGTGCAACGTGGACCCATGGTGACACTTCAGCTCGTTTTCCTAGTGCAGTTAGTGTGATAGATGTACAAAGTCTATGGTTTAAAAAGCTGAAGAGACTGTGTTTGCAAGTAGCCAATAACACATTGAAATATACAAAACCAGCATGAGGCTTAGAGTCCAATTACACATCTATCAGTGTTGGAATGTGATGTAAAATGAATTGATTTATAGACTTCAGGACTCATTTTGGTATAATACTCGCATTTCAGTGGGTTTCTGAAGGAGAAGATCTGAGGAAAATGTGATTTTGGAATCTGTGGTCTTGAGATATTGGTACTGAAGTTCACAAGTGGTAGATAAAGAATTTAATTGTATTATTATTTTTAATGTAGTAATCTTATTTTAATAAGGAACTTGCAAATGCTTTTCTTTATTTATAATAAAAATTTAGAATGGCATCTGCTGGTCAAGATAAATTAAAAGTTGTGGCACTGTTAACACCTTGGTGCAATTTCACCACTAATCTTTCAGGTGTATACACATTGACTTTATTGAGGCACAGCTATTTTTCTTTCCTTTATTCATTAAGGGGATGAGGGCGTCACTGGCTAGGCCAGCATTTATTGCCCATCCCTAATTGCCTAGAGGGCATTTCAGAGTCAACCATATTGCTCTGGGTCTGGAGTCACATATAGGCCAGACCAGGTGAGGTTGGCAGTTTTCTTCCCTAAAGGACATTGTTGAACTAGATGGGTTTTTCCAACAATCGGCAATGGATTCATGGTCATTAGTAGACTCTTAATTCCAGATATTTATTGAATTCAAATTCCACCATCTGCTGTGGTGGGATTTGAACCCAGGTCCCCAGAACATTACCTGGGTCTCTGAATGAACAGTCCAGCAATAATACGACTAGGCCATTGCCTCCCTGTTAAGGCATCTTGGTTTCTCTTAAGTCATAATGCAGTGTAACTGTTCTCTTTTCCCCTATTCCAGAAGCAAATCTGCATCAAGTGGCCCAGCAAATACTAATGGTGTGCAAGCAGAATTCTTGGATTACGACAGATTGAAACAGGTATGTTGGATGGCTTTTCTGTTTTTTTTTCCTTTTCCCACATTATTAAGAACCACATGTTTCTCAACAAATCATTGCTATTCCTCTGGCTTCGTTGAAATTGTAGTGTTTCTGAATACAGTTCTGTTGTTGACAATGGCCTATAGTGCCCATAATAGCTTTGAGCTGCGAGATGTATTCTGAGTCTATCCACTTAGCACAGTATTAGTACCATGCAACACAATGGAGGATGGCCTCAGTGTGAAAAGGGGACTTTGTCTCCACCAGGGGTGTGTGGTGGCCATTCTGTCCAGTGCTATTGTGAGCAAGTGAGGACAAGGTCAAGTGATTGATTCTTTCATTATCTGCTGAAGGCCTGGTCTAGCTAATTGTTCCTTAGGACTTGTTGAGTTTGGTCATTAGTGGTACTACTGAGCCAAGGTAGATGATAAGCAATGAACTCTTCATCAAGAGTACATTCTGCGCCTTTGCTATCTTTAGGGCTTCTTCCCAGTTTTGTTGAACACGATGTTGTGAAAAGTCATGGGGTCTAGAGTCAGTGTTGAGGAAGCCCAGGTCCACTCCTTTCCGAATGTATAAAACAGATGGGTTTTTACAACACTTGACAGTGATTACCTGCTTACTGTTTAGATTTTAATACTGATTTTTTTTGTCAGTTCAAATTACACCATATGCCAAAGTTTCCTTTGAATCATGTCCTTAGAATATTAATCTAGGATTCTGGATTCCTAGTTACCACTGTTGCTGTCACCTTCCCCTAAATCCTGTAGCTTATGACACTTAAGGTCCATATTCAACTGATTTCGAATGGAATAGTGGCTTTTATCCCTACCACCTTTTCACGCAATGAGTTCTAAATTCCCACCACTCTCTAACTAAGGTTCTCCTCAGCTCCCCCAATCTCATTTTAGGTCTACAGTTCCTCGTTCTTGACGTCTTTGCAAAGGGAAACAAGTAATTCTTACACCTTATCTATAACCATTTTAATTTTATACTAAATTAAAAATGAATATATGAACAAGAAGCAGGAGCAGGCCATTCAGACCTTCTGGTGTGGTCTGCCATTCAATAAGATTGTAGCTGATCTGATTGTGGCATCAATTCCACATTCTGGTCTCCCCAATAACCTTTAACTCCCTTATTAATCCTCTGCCTTAAAAATATTTCATTATCCTTCTTCCAGTACTCACTGAGGAAGAGAATTCCAAAGATTCATGCCCCTTTGAGAGAATTTCTCCTCTTCACCATCTTATGTCAGAGATCCCTTATTTTTAAACTTGTTCTAATCTACAGCGTAACATCCATTCTACCCCATTACATCTCTTCAGGATCTTTCAATTTCAATAAGAACATAGAACAGTACAGCACAGTACAGGCCCTTCGGCCCACAATGTTGTGCCGACCTATTATCCGACTCTAAGATCAAACTAACCTGCATATCCTACATTTTACTATCATCCATGTGCCTATCCAAGAGTCATTTAAATGTCCCTAATGAGTCTGACTCCCCTACCACTGCCGGCAGCGCATTCCACGCACCCACCACTCTCAGTGTAAAGAATCTACCTCTGACATCTCCTCTATACCTTCCTCCAATCGTCTTAAAATTATGCCCCCTCATAATAGTCATTTCCGCCCTGTTAAAAAGTCTCTGGCTATCCACTATCTATGCCTCTCATCATCGTGTACGCCTCTAACAAGTCACCTCTGATCCTGCTTCGCTCCAATGGGAAAAGCCCTAGCTCCCCTAACCTTTCCTCATAAGACCCGCCCTCCATTCCAGGCAACATCCTGGTAAATCTCTTCTGCACCCTTTCTAAAGCTTCCACATCCTTCCTATAATGAGGTGGTCAGAACTGGACACACTATTCCTGGTCTAACCAGGGTTTTATAGAGCTGCAGCATAACCTCGCGGCTCTTATACTCAATCCCCCTGCCAATGAAAGTCAACACACCATACGCCTTCTTAACAACCCTATCAACTTGGGTGGCAACTTTGAGGGATCTGTGGACGTGGATCCCAAGATCCTTCTGTTCCTCCAAACTGCCGAGAATCCTGCCATTAACCCTGTATTCTGCATTCAAATTCAACCTTTTCTGGGTTGAATTCCATCTGCCACTTCTTTGCCCAGCTCTGCATCCTGTCAATATTCCATTGCAACCTACAACAACCCTCCACACTGTCCACAACTCCACCAAACTTCGTGTCATCAGCAAACTTACTAATCGACCCCTCCAATGCCTCATCCAAGTTATTTATAAAGATCACAAAGAGCAGAGGTCCCAGAACAGATCCCTGCGGAACACCACTGGTCACCGAGCTCCAGGCTGAATACTTTCCGTCTACTACCACCCTCTGTCTTCTATTGGACAGCCAGTTCTGTATCCATACAGCCAAATTTCCCTGAATCCCATGCCTCCTTACTTTCTGAATGAGCCTACCATGGGGAACCTTATCAAATGCCTTGCTAAAATCCATATACACCACCCTGAATCCCATGCTCTACCTTCATCAATGTGTTCTGTCACATCTTCAAAGAATTCAATAAGGCTTGTGAGGCATAACCTTCCAGTAGTCTCTGGAAGAGAATTCCAAAGATTCATACTGACTATTTCTCACAAAGCCAAGCTGACTATTTCTAATCAAAAGATGCTTTTCCAAATAATCATAAATACTATCTCTCAGAATCCTCTCCAATAATTTGCCAACCACAGAAGTAAGACTGACTGGTCTGTAATTCCCAGGGTTATCCCTATCCCGTTTCTTGAACAAGGGAATGATATTTGCCACCCTGCAATCATCTGGTACTACTCCAGTGGACAGTGAGGACGCAAAGATCATCGTCACAGGCGCAGCAATCTCTTCCCTCGCTTCCCGTAGAAACCTTGGGTATAGACCATCTGGCTTAGGGGACTTATCTACCCTCATGTTTTTCAAAATTTCTAGCACGCCCTCCTTCCTAACATCAACCTGTTCAAGTATGTCATCCTGTTTCATGCTGTCCCCACAAATGTCAAGGTCCCTCTCATGGATGAATACTGAAGCAAAGTATTCATTAAGGACCTCCCGTACCACTTCCGACTCTACGCACAAGTTCTCTCCACTATCCCTCATCAGCCCTACCCTTAGTCTGGCCATCCTCTAGTTCCTCACGTAAGTATAGAATGCCTTGGGGTTTTTCTTAATCCTACCCGCCAAGGCTTTTTCATGCACCCTTCTGGCTGTCCTAAGTCCATTCTTCAGTTCCTTCCAGGCTACCTTGTAACCCTGTAGAGCCCTGTCCGATCCTTGCTTCCTTCTTCCTCTTGACTAGATGTTCTGCATGTCTTGTCGTCCAAGGTCCCTTCAACTTACACCCCTTCCTTGCCTCAATGGGACAAACCTATCCAGCACTTGTAGCAAGTGCTCCCTAAATAACCTCCACATTTCTGTTGTACATTTCCCTGAGATCATCTGTTCCCAATTTATGCTCCACAGTTCCTGCCTAATAGCATTGTAATTCCCCCTCCCCCAATTAAACACTTTACCATATTGTCTGCTCCTATCCCTCTCCATGACTGTAGTAAAGGTCAGGGAGTTGTGATTACTATCACCGAAATGCCCTCCCACCGAAAGATCTGACACCTGACCTGGTTCGTTGCCAAGCACCAAATCCAATATAGCCTCCTCTCTAGTCGGCCTATATTGAGTCAGAAATCCTTCTTGGACACACCTGACAAAATCTGCTCCATCCAAACTATTTGCACTTCGGAAGTTCCAGTCAATATTAGGGAAGTTGAAGTCACCCATGACAACAACCCTATTATTTCTGCACCTTTTCAAAATCTGCCTCCCAATCTGTTCCTCTGTCTCTGTTGCTATTGGAGGGTCTATAGAAAACTCCCAATAAAGTGACTGCTCCTTCCCTGTTTCTGATTTCCACCCATACTGACTCAGTAGGCAAATGCTCCTCAACAACCTCCCTTTCTGCAACTGTGATACCATCCCTGATTAGCAATGCAACTCCCCCCACCTCTTTTACCTCCCTCCCTATTTCTTTTGAAACACCTAAACCCCGGAACATCCAACAACCATTTTTGCCCCTGTGTTATCCAAGTGTCCATAATGGCCACAACATTGTAGCTCCAAGTACTGATCCATGTTCTAAGTTCGTCACCCTTATTCCTGACATTTTGTGCGTTAAAATAGACACACTTCAACCCGTCGCACTGACTGCAACTTTGCCCTATCAACTGTCTGTCCTTCCTCACAGACTCTTTGCATGCTATATCTGCCTGTACAGCAGCTACCCCATCCTCTGATCCGTAGCTCCGGTTCCCATCCCTGCCAAACTAGTTTAAACCCTCCCAAAGAGCTCTAGCAAACCTTCCGCCCAGGATATTGGTGCCCCTCTAGTTCAGGTGTAACCTGTCCTTCTTGTACAGATCCCACCTTCCCCAGAAGGTATCCCAATGATCCACATATCTGAAGCCCTCCCTCCTACACCAGCTCTGTAGCCACGTGTTCAGCTGCACTCTCTCTCTATTCCTAGCCTCACTAGCCCATGGCACCGGGAGTAATCCTGAGATTACTACTCTGTTTGTCCTGCCTTTTAGCTTCCAACTAAACTCCCTACATTCACTTTTCAGGTGCTCATTCCTTTTCCTAGTTATGTCATTGGTACTGAGGTATACCACGACTTCTGGCTGCTCACCCATCTCCCTTAAGAATCCTGTAGACTCTATCCGAGACATCCCTGACCCTGGCACCTGGGAGGCAACATACCATCTGGGAGTCTCACTCGGGACCACAGAATCTCCTGTCTGTTCCCCGAACCATTGAATCTTCTATCACTATCGCTCTCCTATTCTCCCGCCTTCCCTTCTGAGCCACAAAGCCAGGCTCAGTGCCAGAGACCACTATGGCTTTCCCCTGGTACTTTGACACCACCCCCCCAAACAGTATCCAAAGCGGTATACTTACTACCGAGGGGAACAGCCACAGAGGATCCCTGCACTGT